GCCGAGCACCCGGAGGCCGAGGCCAGACCCCGGCATTCTCCAGCTCTAGCGCGGCAGAGGGGGCGGAGGCAGGTGTCGCCGAAGGCTTCTCCCCAGACCCCCAGCCGCCGCCGGCTTCCCTACCTGGAGAGGAGTTTCCGAATCCCGCCGGCCCAGCGCTCTCGGGCGTGGGCACGGGATCCTTGTAGCTGAAAATGAATCATCAAGTATTTATAAGATTTCCTGCAAGACGCTCCCCAACAGAATATACTTCTTATCTGGCGGGAAATTTGCCAAAAAGCCATAAATAATTGAGACAACTGTGATTAACCTCCCAGAAACCATACCAGAATTCACAATTCAACATTTAATTGAATGCTCTCCTTGCCCCTCGTCCCGGAGGGGGCGAGGGTTTGAGAGAGAAACCCTGGCCCCACCCAGCGGGGACCCTAATAGGGCTCCTAGGTGCCTCCCGTCTCCGAGTTTCAGGAGGTCTCCAATTCCCTTCTTTAATGTGCGCGGGGACGAGCCAGCGGGATTTAAGCTCCAACTCCCCCGGGGTTTATGACTTCTAAACTGTCCCGAGATGGAAGAGCGCGACGCCCAGGTGAATGCGGGCACATCTTGTTCCAATTTGCCGGTGCCACCACAGGATTTCTCCTGGGACAGGGACTGCCTCCGGGATCTCCCGAGGCTCGGGGGTCACAGGCGAATAACACTGGGCCAAGGCGAAAGATCTCTGCTGGATCCACCCAGCCTGGAAAGTTGGTCGAACTGGGTACAACTGAGGCAAAAGCAACAACTTTGTTGGGGCTTTAGAGCCCAGAATTTGAGTCAAATCGGAAAAAGCTGCCCGAGGCTCTGGGGAGCAGCAACATTTGAACGCTCAACGCAGTTGCCCAACCGAATTTCCTGCTCTGGACGGCCACTCGCTTCTCCCGGAGCTCAGCAGGGCTTGTCCTCCCACCCCCACCCCACCCCCCCACACACACACACACACAAACAGGCACACACGTACACACACACACACACACACACACACCAGGATGTTAGAGCTGCCGCTCCCTGCCTGGTTCCGGAGCCTCTCCCGCCCTGCAGCTACTGGCAGTAGTGAGAGCTGTGACCTCGAATCCCGAACCGGCCCTCGTTGACCTAGGTCCTCACCTTCTCCTCCCCTAGACACCTTCTACCTTCCCCAGAGCAGCTGGGAAAAACACCTGGGTCATGTCTTCCAAGTCTCATTGCCATGCTCTTGGGAAGTCTCAAGTCTCAATCTGGGAAATCACTCCTCACTCTCCCTATTCTTTCCCTTCCCTTTCTGCGTCTCCTCTCTCGCCACCCAGCCCTGGGGTCTCCAATCTTCAAACCGCACCTTCACTCAAATATCCTGCTTCCAGGAAACTGTCAACCTTCCTGCTCCTCTCTCTGTTCACTCCCTGACCCACTCTCCCTGTGGCCCAAAGCTGCACTCACCAAGCACTCCCGCCTCTCTGGAAACTTTGATGCTGGGGCCCCAAGTGCTTTATAATTTGAGCTGCTCCCCACTCCCCACATCTGGATCTCAATGGAGTTATTTTCTTATGCCCTTTCCTGCTGCCATTACTATACTCAATCTAGCTCTATTTATCTGCATCTTCTTCTATGCACAGTCTCCATCAACAAGGTGCTACTCTATAATTGGTCAAACAATCCTCATTATTGCACTTCATCTCAGTATTTTCAACAAAGTTTACCTTTACATCAATCAGACCCACATTTAAAAGCCTCTAATCTTCCCTCCATCAGCTTAATAAACTCTGAATTTCCTGCTTTTATCACAACTCCATTGGGAATTTACTTCTCTGCAAATAATTATTCATCCATTGTTTTCTCTTTCTAGCATGATGCTATTCAACTAATTTTCTTGCTGTCTTTTGGTGAACACTCACATGGGAAAACAGGCTTACTAAATATGTGGCAGTTTAAACCCTTCCCTAGGCAGCAGAGGCAGAATCTCAAATTTTCTAATGACCAATCTTAAACAATGCCTTATTTAAACCATCTTTGCAGCTCTGACAAAATCGAGCTTTACAATATTCTATATTCAAAACTGAAAGGCTGATTTCTGTTCCACACACATTAAATATTAAAGTTCATTGGGAATACTGCCACAGGGACTGAATTTCCCAGAATTATGCAGTCTTTCAATATGTATTAAATTGTGTGCCATAAACTTTTCCATCTCTGGGAATCCCTTTTCTGCCTCAATTTCATAGAGCTACTCAAATTATTAGATAAATCTTCTGAGAAAATCTTATTCTGAAATATATCTAGTTAAATAACTCACTCCAATTTTCCATCTATGGTGTCTCTTCTTGAATTTTTACTACTCAAGTGGGTATCTCATGTTAAAAGTTCAGTTAGCATAAAATACAACACTTGTAATTGTTACAGGTAATTTAATTTACTGGGAAATCCCTACTGTATTACAGAGGATGTTTAAAGATGATCTGGGAACCAGTAAAACTGATATTTATTGAGGTAACTAACCAACCATAGATCTCTGACACCTCACCAGGAAACCGTTGTAAGAAGGCTATAGAATGAACCCTTTTCCTGGAAACCAGCAAAGAAAACAATGCACCCTTTGGGTGGCTAGTAACAAGAGAAAAAGTTTATGATGTTTGACACAGTAATATAGAGAGATACAGGCATCTTAATAAGCAGTAACCACTTTAACTGGGTAATTTCCCAATATTTGAAAAAAATGCTCATATAAGTATTGTAAAGAGGAATTAGGTTTATGATCTATGGATGATGAGAGAAAAGATAATTGAAATTAAATAGGTAGATATTTCAATTCACAGCATTAAAATACTGCAGCCTGTCAAAAGCAAAATTCAGAGCTAATTAACAATGACTAATGAAATTCTTTATTCAATAACCTGTTGTTTCCTTTTTAACAACAACAACAAAAAAAAAGAAAACCCAATAAATCAAAAGTTTTCAAAAGTAAGATTTATTGGAAGTTTAGTCCCTGGTCCAATAGCCAGTCAGGAGGTTAAAGAAGAAATCTGTATTTCTGCATGGGATGGAATGGTCTAAGTTAAAGGAATGAAGCCTCAAAGAACCTAACCCTGATTATTAAAACCGTTTCTGGGCACTTGAGAGGTAAAGCTGTTCCTCATTAACCCTGCATATCTCTTCCCTTATCTCTAAGTTTGCAGCACTATTTCCTAAATCCCAAAGAAGGGGAATGTTCTTTTTAATATTTGTGCTAGCATCACCTTGGCTTTCAGGAAATAAGATATAAAGGTGGCTCAATTTTCCCACCTCTTCCCATTTTCTTTCAATAATTGCCAGCAAGCCTTCCATCTCCATTTGGGCTGGGAGTGGGGAGTGGATGAGTATGTGTGAAGGCATCCTGCCAAAAGTTCTGCTGAAAAACCCACAGTGGCCTCTGGCCAGGCACACTTAAATTTAAGGTTCTCTAACACAAGGCACCTATTCCTCTCTATCCAGCGACTGCAGCTGCCCCTTAGGCACATTTTTCCTTACTAGCTTTTACCTAAGCTAGGATGGCAACTGTCCACCATTTAGTTAGGGCGTGGCCCTCTTTCACAACAACCCCTGTACAAAGAAGGAGGCACTGTGCGTCATTTAACTCTATGGACAAGGAAATGGAAACTCAACGCCAGAGATACTGGCTGGTAGGTAGTCTGGCAACTGCCTGAGTCCATCAAGTGAGGGCTGGTCTCCGGAAAGAACTGTCCTAGGCTGCCAAAGGGTTAAATATTTGTAAAGGGTAAAACCTGAGCCTACCGTTTTTTGTGTGTGTGCTTGCCCGGGGGCCTGCTGGAGATTCAGTATCTCTAGGTTATTTCCTGCGATCACGAAAGTCAGTTTTCAAGAAAACAAGTCGCAAGGGTTTGAAATGTCACACCAAGTGACCTGGGCAAGGCATATCCAGGGGCCATTCCCAGCCCCCTCCCACCCGGGCCATCTCCTACCCCCTCCATTTCGGATCTGGAAAGAAAATAAACCAAGGACACGCCAGACTGGTTCTGGGTGGACTTATTTTCCCGGGCAGCAGCCATCCTAGAGGGGGCTTGTTGTGGCTCCTTCAGTGTATCGCTTGCAGGTGATGCCAAATGCAGATAAGGAGCCGCCACCCGGCCCTCTCCTCTGTCTAGACTGGGGAATTAATAAATGCAGCGAGATTGATCACGTCGCGCATCCACTTTGGGACAGCACGGAGGACCGGGCATCGTGACCGGCGGATCTGGCCGGGGTCTGGCCCCCTGGTCACCCCGGGCCCATGGGCCGGCCTCGATGATGCTTGGCGGCAGGGCCAGAGCTGCTGGGCAACGCGTCCAGGGCTTCCAGCCTTCCCTGGGAAAATAAGTGGCAAGAGGACCCGACTGCTGCAGGCCTAGAGTGCAGCGAAAACCCGAAGCCCCAGCCTCAGAGGGCGCCCAGGCGCAGTCAGCTTTAGGGCTGGGGAGGCACGGGATTGAGATGTGGCTGAGAGGGAATGAGACTAGCCCTCGAAAGCCTGAGCTTGCTTAGAAAGGAGTAGGTCGCGAAGCCGCCAGGGGCGTGCAGAGGGGGCCAAACAAGGTGGCCTCACGTGCCCGCGTACCTCCTCCGCGAGGCCCCCAGAGGCGGCAGTCAGCGAGCGCACGCCGGCTTCCGGAAGGGCCTCGGTGCTCGCACGCAGCTCCAGACGCACGGCCCCGCCCCCGCGTGACGTCCAATCCCCGCCAGGCCCGGCCCGCTGGGAGCGGGAGCTCGTTGGCCAGCGACGTGCGAAGCCAGGGAGTGAGCCCTGGAGCCGGGTGTGGAACGCAGACGAACCCTAGAACCTGCATTGGTCCAGCCTTCCGCTGCGCCAACAGCACACAGGAGCGTCTAGGCATTGGATTATTTTTTATTAAGATCAAAATATTCGTCCCACTATGAACTGGATGTTCTTACAATAAATAACAATAACTTACGTTTGTTTGTTCGGCAAAGGCTCACACAACTCTGTCCTCCGTCGACTGATAATTTAAACATTTTAAAGGAAAGTCTTGTTTCTACTTTTTCCCAGCAATCATGCGCTTTGGGGATTGAGTGTCTGTTCCTTTGGGTTATCCCTGTCCTCTTCCCCGCAAAACCCCAGGCGAAGCCGCTGGGCAGCACTTGGGCAGATTTGGGGCAGGAGCCTGCCCGGCCCGGGAAGAGCCCTGCATGTTCTCCACGCCGAGGTGGTTATGTGGGTGGTGGAGTGGAGCGCGGGAGAGGAGAGGGCAGAGCTAACCCTAGTAAATCCCATATTCCGGTTTGGAAAAAAATAAAAGTCCTCGGAGCAGGGGTCTCCAGTCTTGGTGAAAGCAGGTTGCGTCCTGGCGCTTTTGGCTGTCCTGACCGTTTTTTCTCGGTCTTCTCTCTTTAAATAATAATAATTACAAAGGCGAGAGAATTTTCGGAGCTGGAATGGCCTGAGCATGGGTGATTCTCATGCAGGGAGCATGCGAGGTCCACGGGCTGGCAGGGAGGGGTCCCCCCTCACGTCTCCACGGGACTCGGCACCATACTGTTGGGGGTGTCCGGGAGCTGCGAGGACAGGGAGGTCACGTCGCTGCCAGAGGAGTTGCCTAGGGAACCGGACTCGGAGAAGGAGACCTGGGGTGGTGGAGACATCAGGAAGAAGCAGGTGAACCACACCGGAGCTGGCCCTCGGAGCCTTACTCTCTGTGTCACGGAATGCCCCTAGGGGATGGCCGCCAGCTGAGAGCAAGCCCGGCGGAGGGAAAAGCAGGTCCCCTGCAGCACGCAGAGGGACCAGGACAGGGATGCGGGGTGCTGCCATCTGTCCTGTGTACGCTTAAATCCAAGGAGTCCTGGGCGAGAGCGTGTTGTGGGCTAGGTGAGACTGCAAGACCCGCTGCACTCTCCCCATTGCCAGCCCCTCGTCCCATTGGTAGCCCCCTTCCCTCTGCAGCTAAAAGGCTAAATTCCCACCCCGAGAGTCCTGAGGTCGGGGCGGTAGCGCAGAGCCTCACCAGCTGCTGGAAGGCTGGTTGGTCCAGGTCACTCTGAAGTGCGAACTCGCTGAGTGCTTTCCATGGAGGCTGGTAGGTCTGCACCTCAACTGCGCTGCCCTGCACCGCGCTCTCGTGGCGAATGGGGCTGCCCGCCACCAGGGGCGTCCCGGTAAGTCCCTGCAGGCTCTGCAGACAAGCAAAAGACACTGGGCGCTCAAGCTAAGGCTCGCCTTTTACGCCACCTTTGGAAACGGAGCTTCAGGATTTTAGGCCTGCACTGGTTTGGGGAGAAGCGCACACCCTACTGAAAGCGGAAGAGCCCTACTTTCCACTGGAAATAACCAGAGGCCCGAAATTTTCAACCAGTCAGTGCTGGGAGCCAGCCACCTAGCAAGGGAAGAAGCCAGTGCTACCATCCCTCCCTAGGTATGCAGAAGATGTGTTCAAACCGAGCCATGCTGAAAGACACAACACGCCAGACCAAATTCCAGGCGATGCACACACCCTTGACACCAGGGTTCCTCACTGTACCTAGGACCCCAAACTCTGGGCTGCTACTGGGATAAGACCACCCCACCTTAGACAAAATAATTAGGAAGCCTTAAACCCCAAAGCAAGTCTTGCTCTGATGGTACAAATACCTGCTATTGGAGAGTCCGGTTCCCCTTTGATCTCCCCAGAGCCCGCCCATAAAAGGGCACAGATACTGTGGTGGGAACCGAGGCCCCACCCGACCCATTCCTCTGGCGGCGCAGCCCCTCACCGTCTTGTCATTGTGCTGCTGTTGTTGCAGCTGCTTCATAAGAATGGATTTCTTCTTGTCCTTGCACCGCTTGTTCTGGAACCATACGCGGATGACCCGCGGGCTCAGGCCGGTCATCTCCACAAGTTGTTCCTTCATGAGCGCATCTGGCCGCGGGTTGGCGGCGTAGCACGTCCTCAGAGTGTGCAGCTGCTTCTCGTTGAGCACAGTCCGCACTCGGGTCGTCTTCTCCGTCTGCTTGTGCACGTGTGGACGCAGCGAGGGCTGTCGGCCTGACCCAGGGTCTGCGAGGACAGGGTGGGGCGAGAGGTGAACGAAGGGCAGCCACCTACTCGCACAAAGACTACCCTCCGGGCGGCAGAGCCCTCCAGGGCCCGATTTCGTTTCCCTTTTATTTCGTTTATTGTTCCTCTCTCAAAGGAACTTTGCGTTTCCCCCTTTTTCCTTGCTCCCAGGTGGAGTTGCCCTGCTGCGATCTCCCGGGGCTGGGGACCATAGTGACTATCCAGGTTATGCCTCCTCCACTCACCCGACCCTAGGAGAGCCGCTAGGGCCCCTTAGGGACTGGCAGAGTCCTCCGAAAGAAGTCGGAGTTTCAGAGGAAGAGACCGGAGGCGCGCCCGGGACTCTGGCGGGAGAAGGGAAACTAGCGTACCCGGGTGAGGCGCGACTTTGGGACCCAGGGATGATCTCCCACTCCTGGGGGCCTCTGAGGGCCCTTCCTCCTCGTTCAGAGCCGATTCCGACAGGCCTACGCCATGCGTCTCAAAAACCAGGCCTGGGGCAAGTACCGGCCTCTAGGGCCCTACACAGTTCCTTCCTGCCTGCCTTGGGGCCTTTGAGCCCTAGGACCCTTCTCCCAAGGCTCCAGACTGCCCTGGCCCAGCGGGCGGAAAACGCTGGCACTCTCGAATTAGCCTCCGGTTCTCCCAATTCCTGGGAAATAGCCCGATTCCTGCAGCCTGCAGCAGACAGCCCGCCACAAACAAAGGGGAGCCCCTTCCAGATCCCAGACAGGGTTGCACTCAATATCTGCTTCATTTTGTACCACAGTCCTATCCAAACCTGGTCTATACACTCAGGGATACATGCTGTATTGATTAATGTTCCCCTAGGCATTTCTAGGTCCAGATAAATATTTACAAATAACCCATCCAGCCCAATTTCCTCTTTCTATAGGGAGGAAATAGAGATCCAGGGAGGGGAGGAATGTTGCAAAGCCACACAGCACCCAGAGGCTCAGCTTGATCTAAATATCAGTGCTATAATGCCACGGACTACCTGAGGCTGGGGTCCCAAGCTTTCTCACTTTCTTGGCCTGCCTATGGTTACATTAATATCCCGTTTCTAGGCAGCTCCTGATTAGGACACAGAATATCCTAGTGAGGGCTTTCTTTGATACAGGGAATCTGCTGTGCCCTTATACTCTCTCCCCAAGAAGCACTTGACTAAGTTGTGCATCAAATTGGGCCTCAAAATACAAATTACAGAAACCTCTTTGTTGGATGGTTGGCCTTCGGTGGGCTCCTGACTGGCTGAGTGCCTTCCCAGCTCCCAGTTGGGAGCTGTATTACTTACATATACACCCCCCAGGCAAACCTATCTTTCCTTTCTGACAATAACACATATTCCTGGAAGAAATTCCAAATACAAGTCCCTCCGACAGGCACCATTTAAAATCCCCTGTTGGCATTCACTTTCTGCTTCTCCTAGCAGTGTGTCCCACATATTCCCAGTCACGGAGAACACAATTCACAATTCCCCAAATTCATACATGCAATGTCTGCCTGACACAGACGAACACACAGCCTGGCTCTCAGCACACAGTTCCGCATTCATACGGAAAAACCGACACAGCAGATGGAACCTCACGGAACTGACCACTTCAGGTCAGGAGCATAGCACCCTACACACACACACACACACACACACACACACACCTCTGACACACACACACCACTGACACCGACGCAGGCGGGAGGCGCAGCCCGAGCGCACGGCTTACCTGGCAGATGCAGGCCGCGGGCTCCGGGGAGAGGACCGGGGCTGCGCGGGCTGCCGGCAGCGGCGCGCTCCAGCAGGAGGCCGTGATCTGCGCGGCAGAGCAGTTCGTGCTCCCTCAGCGAGAACTCATCTCCAGGCAGCAGCTGCCGGCTGCACACGGAGCAGCGGAAGCACTCTATGTGGTACACGCTGTCCCGCGCCCGCATCACCAGGTCGCTGCTGCTGAAGCCCACCTGGCACTTGGCGCACTTGATGCCGAACAGCCTGGGGGCCCAAGGCACCAGCTGCGTCAGCGTGGAGCCTGCAGCCGGCCTCACCTCCCACGCTGCTATGGGGTCCGGGAGACTCTCGCCCCAGATGCTCTGTGACTCACTGGGGGCTGCGGGGAACTTGCCCGCAGGGGTCCTGGGCCCGGAGTTGCGCCGACGCACCGGGGTTGGGATAGCCGTCTCCCGGGCCTGGTGGGAGCAGGAGGGCGGGTTGCCATCCCAGGCCTGGGCCCGGCCCTAGCAGGCGGTACCGGAATCCCGAACTCCCTCCAGCCTCACCTTACGTAGTCCCGCTTGCAGTAGGTCTTCCCGTCTCTCACGAAGCACGTGCACGTCTCATCTAGGTACTGGCTGCACTCAGCGCACTTGAGGCAGGCGGCATGCCACTCGAGGTCGGGCGACACCCGAAGAATAAACTGGTCGTGGATCTGACTCCCGCAGCCCACGCACATGGCGGTCCCAGGCTTCTCTGCCGGGGAAGGGCGCAGGGCCCGCGTCAGGCCTGGCTGCCCGGACCCCGGCCGTCCTCGGCCACTCCAGCCCCAACCCAATCCGCTCGTTCTTTCACTCTTTCAAGAATTGTGAGCGCAAGGAAAAGATGAGCTTTCTAATGGTCCAGAAAATTGGAAACGAAAAAACAAAATATTCTGATTTTGTGAAGGCTTTTCGTCTCCCTCTCCAAATACTTTCGCTATCACATTCATTGAACACGGTCGTTGAATCAGTATATCTTGTAACTAAGCTCTGGGGTGAGACGAGAGTGAATACATAGTTCAGCACCAGAGACGCGACATCAGTACTGAACGGTGATGTCCCGGCATTTCCGCCAGCACATTCCCACTCACTGCGACTCCCTCCTATCCCAACAGAGACACATCAGCTTTCAGTGGAGTCCCTGCTCATTCTTCTGACATGTCTTAATTTAAATATCTCAGATCAAGCGAGATAAATCTTTCCAGCTTTGAGAGACCCAAAGACAAGGAAACAAACAAACAAAAACCCCACATCCCTAAATCAAATCGGATTGCCTTAGCGCAAAACAGAAGCAGAATTCACACCCTGAGGTCAGCCTATCTGGCTCGAGAAACAGTATTTAATTATAAAGCAAAACAACAGATTTCAAAGGATGAGCAGTCCTATAGGAGAAATGCACTCGTTTTATTTTTTCCCTCTCAAGCACCCTGTCAAATAGAAGCCACTTGTAGAATCCACTAAACATTCTTCTGCATTAGAAATATTGCATATTAAGCACACTCATACACACCCACACAGAGAGAAAGACTTACTCTTGGAATGATCCCCCATAGCACCCAGAAAAGGATAATGAAAAATAATATCCACCATGCAGAAAGAGATGTGCGCAAAGTGTGCGACCAGGGGCAGAAGGATGAGGGTCGTGCGCCCAGCCTCGGTTCTTTGCTAACTAACTCCTCCTGCCCCGCGGAGTTGAAGGAACGACTCCGCACCGGCCCGCACGCAGCATGACGTCAGCACGCACTCGCCCCGGGCCGGAGCTGAGGGCGGGACCTGTGGCGTCACCAAGCTTCCCCAGAATCGCTAGGGATGAGGGGGAGGTGATGGGGACCGGGGGGTTGATGGGCGGGGTGGGTTAGGGTAGAAGGAGGGGGTGAAGGGAGATTGGCTGGGAAGAAGAGGCCAAACCTGATTGGCTCCTAGTGAACAATGGAGTGCAGCCCCCTCCCCTCAAATCTACAGGGATCTTGTCTCCCGCCCCCGGTCCGGCAATCCCAGCTGGACCCTGTGTCAGCGCCAAGTTGGCTCTGCGGTCGCTGCAGCTCTGAGCTTCCTCTTGGGCTTGCTGGGCGGTTTCCCCAATCGGCCCCAGCAAGGTGATGGATACCTGGTGATAGATGGGTCCGACTCTCCTTTAGAAGCTTCTTTCTTTTATAAATTAAAAAAGAAGAAGAAGAAAAATCCCCTGTAGAGACGAGTGACCTGGGGAAAAGGGGAATCGTTGGGAGGTGAACATCATCGTCCAATTGGTCACCTTTCTTTTCTCGTGTGCTTTTGTTCTCAGGATCCAAACTAGAGAGAGAGGTTAGGGAATGACCACTTGTGTCAACTCTTTTGAGACTTCACCACTCGAGTTGACTGTAGAAAAACAAGTTGGAGGTGGGTAGCGCTAGATGAAGAATCCAAAGACTCTGGGGACGGGTCCTAATTTGATCCTTGCATCGTTCGTGGCTTCTCCTATTTCTTCTCATTCTTTTTCTCCTGGCTTTCTTTCTTCTTCTTTTTTCTTGTCTTTTTGCTTTTTGTTTGTTTGTTTTCAATTTGACATCAAACCTCCCCTATTCCTTCCCCACTCAAATTGCATAGCTCCTTCTAGGAAAACGGCTGGGGTCCAATGTGTGTCCTACTTCCAGAATACGTGATTTTTGCAAACTCTGATTTTTCATAAACCAACTGCAACATCAATAAGCAGAGGAAAAAATATTGCTTGCGGAGTAATTTACTATCTACACAGTGGTTTATCAGTCCTTAGAAAATCCCTGAATTCTAAGAAGAATCCAAGCATATTAAAAAAAAAAAAAAATCTCTGTAGGTTTTGTTTGAAAGGGTTCATAAACCGGTTCATGAATTATAAATAACATTTGTCCGACCATGGTGTCTGTTGTTTTCCCATTAAAAGGCATATCGAGAACCTGCACGTGCCTGGGTGGGGCGCGGGTGAGCACCTAGAGATAGAGTGTCCACGGGAATCCCAGACCCAAGTCCTGATCTCCGCGGGTGTGTCAGCCCAAAAACCGAGTCAAGCGCGGCTGCCAATCTATTAAGAACCAGAGGCTGGTGGGTTTAAGATCCCGGCTGCTCCCCGGAAATGGGTGCAGCCCAGAGCGCAGGGAGAGGCTTTGTAGAAAGCCGGGCTAGGCCCTGAGGGCTCCCTAGGACCACCACTCAGTGAAGCTCCACCTCACCGTGAACGTTCTTGGATCTCCCGGGCAGGTTTGTGACCACGGCTTCCACCATTGGAACGTCTTAGTCCTACTGGTCTGTTTCTTTGTCACTGCCTACCAAAGGCTCTGTCAACAGTTTCTTGCATCTCTGGCCAGTAGATCCCTGAACAGCGTTCACGATGAATGTGTGCAGAGTGCGATGAATGTGTGCAGAGTGCGTCAGGGGTAAAGAGAATGCTACATTTGCATTCCACAAATAAATGGGGAAAGAGAAGAGAGAGTATCTCTGCACAGGGAGCTGCCCCAGGCCACTTGTGTAATGTCAGGCATCTCATTTTAATTCTCCTGCCCTCAGTTTCCTCATCTACAATATGGGGTATAAGAGTAGCAATGTCTCCTGTGTAAAAAATTTAACTACTGGAAAAGCCTTGGAATACTACCTGGCACATAGTAAGGGCTTGAAACACTTTCACTCTAATGGTTATCATTATGGCTGTGGTGTGTGTGTGTGTGTGTGTGTGTGTGTGTGTGTTGTGGTGTGTGTGTGTGTGTGTGTGTGTGTGTTGGGATCCTCTTTCCAGTGCATGGTGCCTGTGTAGTTCTGGGCTTGTTGGAGAAGTCTTTATAAGTGAGTGGACTGTGTGTCAGCTGAAGACTTCTTTGTGTATTTGATGTGTGCTTGCTATGAGTATGGGGGATGCGTGTGTGCTCTGAGTATGAGTTTGATTCATAGGTAATGTCTGTGTATGTGGGCATAGTCTCTATAGTGTGTGTTGGGTGTAGAAAAAGAAAGTACACCCCATCAGGTGGCTTCCCCCTGGGGGCCCCTGGCCCAGGTCAGGCTCCCACCAGAGGTCTTGCTCACCCTGCCAGGAGCAACTAAATCAATCAGGGGTGCCAGTGGCCAGGAGGGGGCAGCTCCAAGCAAAATCCTAGACTCAACCTTTAACCCTCTCTTGCCCAGAGAAACATCCCTTTCGTGACCAGGAAACCCAGTCCTCTGAGACTCCACCCAGAAGGAGCCTTTGGCAGAAGGTGGCCTCTTCCATGCCAGGAAGCCAAGTGAAGGACAATATTTGTTCTGCACCCACCAGTGCAAAGCCTCTGTTGTTAACTGCTTAGGCTTTCCAGCAGTGTCACCAGGTAGGTTGTGTTAAAACCATTTGTTCCAGGGGGAACTGAGGCTAGAGGGAAAGTTACAGGGCCACAGCCACAGGGCAAAGTCAGAGCTGGCAGTGAACTTAGGTCTGTCTGGATGCCCCTTCTTTTTCTTTCTTTCTTTCTTTCTTTTTTTTTTTTTTTTTTGGTACTGGGGATTGAACCCAGGGGCACTTAACCACTGAGCCACATCCCCAGCCCCCACCTTTATAATATTTTATTTAGAGACAGGGTCTCCCTGAGTTTCTTAGGGCCTCACTAAGTTGCTGAGGCTGGCTTTGAACTCACAATCTTCCTGCCTCAGCTTCCTGAGCTGCTGGGATTACAGGTGTGTACCACGTGCTGGTTCCTTGGTTTTTTTTTTTTTTTTTTTATCACTGGGCCACTAATGACTCATTGGGTGTGGCTTTATCACTCACACCTTCACTTCTCTATGGCTGTAAAACCAGTTGCATGGTTCCTCCATGTGGGTCTCCTGGGTCACAACCACCCCCAGAAGTCTAGCACTAGGGTAGGAGAAAAGCATACCTGCCATGCACGGCCACAGGGCACCTTCAATCTGGCCCTGCTCTGGTTCTTTGCCTCCTAGCTTCAGAGTACCCTATCCCTTATTGGGATCACTGCACAAGCTCCAAAACTAACACCAGCTATGACCCTCCTCCTAGAAAGGTTTCAGGAGCACAGAGAAGCCTCCCTGGATTCTTTCTTCCCCAACCTCCCTCACTCCACCACTACTGCCTAAAACTGTTCACAAGGGCTGGGGGTGTGGCTCAATAGTTGAGCACTTGCCTAGCATGTGTGAGACACTGGGTTTGATGTTCAGCACCACATAAAAATAAATAAATAAACACAACTAAAAAGAAAAAATAAACTGTTCACAATTCCCCCCAAAGAAGATTTAGTGTACAAAGATCCCAGCAGGTGAGGGTGGGGGGCGTGGTGGAAAGCAGGTGGTCATTCACAGGCCACTAATGGCAGCTCCTAGCCTCAAAACAAGACCTATAGGGGAAAAGAAGACAGGAAAGTTCTCAGCCAGGGCATCAGGGGCTGGAAGGAAATTTCCAAAACAGGACAGATGACCCAAAACATACCAACTTTTATTATTTTATCTGTTTGCTCAGTCAATCTTCCCACCCTTTCCCCTGCCCTTTTCCTTCTTCTTATTTCCTTCTAGAATTCTGGAACCAGGAAACTGAGAGAGACTTTGGAGATTCTTTCAGCCCCAATACAGCAATGACAATGTTAAACCAATAAGGGAGTCCTTCTAAAGCACAGGGCCCATGTGACTGCACAGGTTACATTTCTGTAAAGAAGTATTGAGGAAGATTCTAAATCTTAGCAGCTCCTAAGTCAATAAACCAATAACTCATACCAATACAATTAGTAAGAGGATGGAAACCCAAACCCACACCCCACATCAGTTCACGAGATGAGTTATGAACTGGTGGTCCTTGCATCTGTCCAAATGGACATGATTTTGTCTGTTGTTTTTTTCATAGTGGACAGACACAGGCCAAGGTTGCCCAGGTTATTCTATATTAAAACGAACAAGCCCATAAGCCCTAGTGCTCTTGTCCTTGGGCA